CAACCTAAACCCCGAACCCCTAAATCCCTAATTAAACCCTTAAACCCCGAAGACCCGAAGCCCAACTAAACCCGGCAGAAAAGAGCAGGAGAGTCAGGAGAGAGCTAAGCACCCCGGCGGAACTGCAGGCGCTTGCTGTGTGCGAGCCATGTTTGCCCGAGCGCTTTGGAAGCTTCGCTTTGAGATCTAGGTCTTGGAGGTTTAAGGTTTAGGTCTTGGAGTTTAGGACTTAAGGTTTAGGTCTTGGAGTTTAGGACTTAGGGTTTAGGTCTTGGAGTTTAGGATTTAAGGCTTAGGTTTAGGAGTTCAGGATTTAAGGCTTAGGTTTAGGAGTTTAGGCTCAGGGCCTGGGGGGCTGACGGGCCTGGCAAGTTTAAGTTTCGGGCTTGGGGGCTTGGGGGCCCCGTTGGCATCTTTCTGCACTGAAGGACGCCGTGATGCGATGCGCCTTGCCTACACAGAAGCGGGGGTTGCCTCTGCAAAGCCGGGGCGGTTGAAGGCCGACAGATGATTTGCCAGGAGGGTATTTCATCTTCGAAAACTTCGTCAATGTGTCTTCCGGGTCGGAGTTGGGATTTTACGTTTGGGGCTCAGACGGCACTCCGATCTGACGGCGCCCGTGGGTTTCAATGCTTGCTTCAAGGTCCCCTTGAGGGTTCTGCTGCCACGCATCCAAGGACACAAACTCTGCCCTCCCTAAACCCGAAACCCGAAACCCTAAACCGTTCAATTTAAGACTTCCGGGGCTCAGGGTTCAGGCTGAAACGGGATCAGCGATTGGGGTTTAGACAACCCCTAAACCCTAAGCCCTACACCCTAAACCCCTTACGCCTGAAATTTCTAGGAACTGAGGTCCCAACTTTCAGAGACCCTGACCCTCACTACTCACTGTACTATACTCATAATTGCAAGCCCTGTGGCTCCGATGTTGAAAGGAGCCCTGAAAAGAAAGAAGGCATGGTACATGAGAGGTCGCGGCAAGGCTTGAACATGGGTCCAAGACCCCAATACCCTGGGCCGCCAAACCCCTAAACCCGTAAACCCCTGAACGCCTAAACCCTAAACCCCTAAACCCCTAAACCCCTAAACCCCTAAAACCCTAAAACCCTAAACCCCTGAACCCCTAAAGCCCTAAACCCGTAAAACCCTAAAACCCTAAAACCCTAAAGCCCTAAACCCCTAAAGCCCTAAAGCCCTAAACCCCTGAAGCCCTAAAGCCCTAAACCCTTAAACTGTAATAAACCCCTCAACTCTAAACCCTATAGATCCCCTATAGATCCCTTAAAGGAACCCTACCCTAAAGCCCTAAAGCCCTAAACCCCCGAAAACGCTAAACGCCCTAAGCCCTCGGGCCTCGAACCACGAGCCATTCAGCCTAAAACCCCCTTCCGTCTTGGGGTTCAAGGTTTCGGGTTTAGGGTTTCGGGTTTAGGGTTTAGGGTTTCGGGTTTAGGGTTTAGGATTTAGGGAGTAGGGTTCAGGGTTGTTGCTCAAGCCTCCTATATGGGAGAGCTGCAGAAGATAGTGGACCCCAATATCAAATCCTAAGCCCTGAGGCGGACGCGTAGCAAGGACACCACAAGTAAGGCACGCGCAGCTTTCTGAAGCCCCTAAGATAAGGGCCTCATCCACGCAATTCAAGGTTTTGGGGCATCATGGACGAAGCCTATATGAAGGCAACCTAAGGAGGAATGTTGGTAACTATTCCAAGCCTAGAACCCCTGAATTCACTGAAGCCTGAACCCACCAGGGGCCCTAAACCATAAACCCTTCTCTCAGCTCAAACCCCTAAACCACTAAACTCCCTAAAAACTCCTGAAACCCATAAGGCCCCTAAACCTTTAAAGCCCCTAAACCCCTGACCCCGAGGAGTCGCGAGGCGCCTTGTTCTGCCTCTTGGCACCTGACTCGGGGCTTTCTGGAAGCTGTGCCAGCTGATCAGGGGGGCCCTCATAATTAGAGTAGGGTTTGAGGGATGTTATACTATCGTTAAGATGAGGAACACCAAAACACCAACGGTAAGTATTTAGGCCCCTATATTATTGCGTTAAGATCAAAAGGTCGTCGGGACTTTGAAGTTTAGGTTTGGGCTTCAGTTTTGGCTTGCGACTTTAGGCCTAGGGGTCGTGGTCTGTGTCCTTTACGGGCTAAGGTAGGGGCCTTATCAATAATTACCTATACTATTTTTAGGTTCCTTAATATATTTATAATATATAATACCCCAAAACCCTATTCTAAAAATATTAAGGCCCATATATTGGCTGGTCAAACGTAGTTACCCGCTTGATGATCCTGATAATTAGCGCCACTGATGAAGTAACTTATAGTAGTAGTAGTAGTAGTAGTAGTAGTAGTAGTAGTAGTACCTCTTGATAGCCCTTGCAACGGTGGCAGCCGGCGGCAGCTTCGTTGTTTGTCGCCCACGCCGCTGCGCGAGAGCGAGTTTGGAGATGAGGAGTCTGACACAACGCTGCATTGTACTAGCACGCCTTGGGCGAGCCAGCAGGCGCAGGAGCATCGGGTGCCTGAAAGGGACCCTTAATTCAGGCAAAGGCCAAGGCCACTGCTCCAGCCTTCGCCGGTGTATGGGCTACAGTCCGGCCCGTGCAAAGCTCGTGAGCTCCACACCCAAGGTGCATTCTACCAAGATTCCTAGCATGGACTTTGTAAGTCGAAAGGAAAACATGTCTGTATAGGGGGCCTCCAAGGCCAATGGCTCGGAGGATCCTCGGACTCTGAAGCCAAGCGCTTGAAACCAGCGTCCAAGGGAAAATGTGGAAGAACTTCTGTACATGTTTGCTCGCGATGAGCATCGGAACAGATTCAAGAGTGCCTGGCCTGCGTGCCAGGCTACCAAAACTTAGGCCGCTCAGCTCAGTCTGCTCAGATCGCCATCTCCTCCTTCTTGGACGTCTCGTCCTGCCCCTCCAGGTTTACGAGATCGGCTCCCGGCTTTGATGCCTCAACCTCCTCATCATCATCCCCAGGAAGCGAGTCCAGCTGCTTGAGCTCCTCCTCCGTGAACATGCACTTCAGGGCCTTGCGAATGATGGCCAAGGACGCCATGAAGAACGGGAACACCACGGAGGTTTCCTTAATGGCTTTCAAACCATAAAGAATGCCAAGGCAAACGACCTGGACCAAGGTGTAAAGGTGCACACGCTGGATCGGAAGCTTCTGGATGTAGTGGTACTGTGGGTACCTGGCCGGGTCCCAGATGAGCCACAGCTTCAAGCGGTCGAACAAGTTGTTGCCGGTCAAGGATGCGATGCCCATGTAGAAGAACACGCCCTGCAGCACGGCCCGCGGCAAGAACTTCAGCACCGGTGCAAGGAAGAGCGCGAGCCCTATCAGCACATGGATAAGGAAGTTCGTGGCGCGCTGCTCCACCACTTTCGTAGGCACCTTGCGCTCGCCTTCCGGAAGCTGCTGCACCTCGTAGGTGGTCAACGAGATCACATGGGTGATGCTGGGCACCGTGGAGGCCACGGACAGGGGCAAGCCCAGCACAGCGCAAACAGGAAGTGTGAGTGCACCACGCACAAACAAGTCCTAGCATTGGCTCCCAACGTTTCTATGCACGGAACCACAAAACCACTCCAAAACAGTCCCCAATTGCCAACGAGGGTCAAGGTGATACGCGGGGGGCTTTTTCAGGTTGTTGGATGGCCGGTTCACAATCACACTGGTGAGGTTCTGATCCAAGTATCCCAACACTGCAAAGCCAATGGCAGGCAGCACCGCATAAGCAATGCCCCAAGCCGGGAACGGGCGGTCGATGCCAGCAGGATTCACGATCCAGGGCCGCTTGCTGCCATCGGACAAGCTCAAGTTCGGGGCGAAGTCAGCATCCACCTGCAACATCCTCAGGCCCGTGTCGTTCGAGTAAATGGCGGCCATTGCTGAACCCGAAACCAAGGCGATGGTGACCGCGAAGTTCGCCCCAAAGTTGCGGATGGCTCGGAAGGTCCAAGGTGTGCGCCGGAAGCTGGACAAGTATGTCGCCCATCCAAAAGTCCAAATGAACAACAAGGTCTCGAACATGCAATTCGTGAGCGTGAGCCTGCTCTCCGTGAAATTCTCGATGATTGGCCTTACTCCGTCAATGATGAAGATCAAAGATATCAGTCCCGCGAAGATATCCTGGCGGCTGTACAGTTCAGGGTTAGGGGATGCTTAGGGTATAGGGCATCGGGTCTAGGCTTTGTGCGGGTGTCCTCACTGAACATGGTCACATGTTTCATGAGTGCACACAGGTCGAACACCGCCACGAGGATCGTGAACACCGAGCACCACATGCAGGTCCAGAAGTAAAATGGCATGAATTCTATGTCGACCGCAATAGCGAGGTCGTAGACGACCAAGGTGTACGCCAAGAAGGGACCCGTAGCTCCAAGGATCGACAAAGGTTGGCCCGCAAATGTTGAAAAGATCAAGCCCGAAATCGAAGTACTCATTATCATCTCCAACACTCCAAATTGGCCGTTCGTGCCATCTAGGAACCGGCTGCCGAAGGTAATCGCAGGGGCAAGGGCTGCTATGAACCTTGCTTCCCCACTACCCAAAGGAAAAAATCGATCGAAAGTATACCTTTGCAGAAAAATAGTAAAGTATAAGAACCAGGCTGGGTAGTGAAGATCCAAGGAGCAGATACAAGATTGAAGACACCGATTTTTGGAAGTTCTCCGGCATAAAGGCATCCGTCCAATCACTGCAAAATAGCGGCGCCCTTCTGCGAATGTCGAGGCGCAAACCCCCAGCTAATTTTCCGGTGAAATCCAAGGGCCCGTAGTCCTTCTTCGCGCTGTGGGAGATGTAACCGGACTCGTAGCGGTACACAGCCTCGGCCTCTGCCATAGCTGCGGCTCGGTGACGGCGGGTGGCGCTGCAAGCAAGGGGCTGAGCTTTGGGCCAGAATAGCTACGAAGAACGTGCAAAGGTTCGGTCATGCCGCGAACGTGTGCAGTCGCCTCTTCAGCGAAGGCAGGGCGCCCTCCGCACCAGGATCAGTAGAAACTGAGCTCTGTTCCGCTGACAAAACTTGGTGCTCGGAGCTCTTGTGTTGTAAGCGAACCCTAAACCCGAAACCCTAAACCCTAAACCCTAAACCCTAAACCCGAAACCCTCATCCGATTTTCTGGCCTTTGATCTGGTCCTCCAGGAATCGGCGGTCCTGAAAGCATGGGGCAGCTGTCGTTTTTGAGGACTTACAGTAGAAGCCAGATAGTTGGAACATCATTCTCCTCATGCCCTTAAGGTAAAGTAAAGGGAATCCTAGCACTAATCACCCTAAATCCATGTTCCAACTTTCTGAGCCCCTA